TACTTAAGCCCAAAAACACCTACACCTACCCACTTAATACTCACAGCCATTACTCTCTACCACTGCGTTTCACACACTTAAGTCCCCGTGGACTACATTGTTTGCGAATGACATTGTGGTCACAGTAGGCAGCAGTGCTCCTCAAACCATGCTACGTGGGGAACTTTTACTCATTCTACTCCAGGGGTGTCCAACTCCTTTTCACCAGGGGCCACATCAGCACTACAGATCTGCTTGAAGGGCCAGCTGCAAATGGAAGACTGCATAGATCGGGGTTCATCAGCCCTCGCTCCGCACAACAGTACCACTCCATAGCTCATATGTTACCGGGCCACAGTGGGACACAGACTAATACATGCATTTCATTATTCTTTATTCAACCTACATCTATCGTCCATTGCTGTGTCATACAAACGGTTAAACAACTCCACTGCATGGACTTCACTAAATGCTTTTTACGCTTCCGCGGCCCACAGCTTGGCAAGCTGCACTTGGCCCCCGGGCCTTGACATTGACACCTATGTTCCACTCAATACATCTCAAACGCAGTGCACTGCTACTACTTCGGCATCTCTCAGCTGGTACAAGGCATACAAACATTTGACAACCACTGCGCTACACAAATGAAGCTCAGTCGTACCAACACATAATCCACACGGCTGAACAGTTAAATACTCATCTTACAATGGCGATCACGATCTACCTGTACACCTCTCACGGATTTCTGCGACATCAACACCTGTTACACTTTAAACATTAACTATTTCAAATTTTTCCCCACTTCACCCCGCTCATCACTAAGCGTAATCTACGTCGGTACAACTTATATTCCCTATCACATATACCATTACATATTCACTTCATATCACTGAACACATATTCAAAGTTTTCCATACACATACCTCACTTTACCCCCATCGTTTTAACAGTTACACCCCTGCGCTACACCAATCCGTCATAGAACAGCATCAGCTACGGTGCACACGTTTATAGACAGGAGCTGGCCATTAACACATGCCAACATTCACTTCAGGAGTGACAAGGATCACGAATTAAGTCATCCCAATGACTGCAACCCCTGAAAAAGGGACAACGCCAAAGGAGACTTTCACATTATCGCAGCGGCAACACCGCACCGTCTTATTTACTGCACTATCACTGCCGTCTCCTCCGTCACACACCACTCTAGATCTGGCTTAAAAGCCCCACTTTTACGTAGCACGCACCCAACAACCTCATTCGACTATCTCCCCTCTAACACTACTTCTGCTTGATATACCACACACCTAAAACGGATGGAGTCCTCACATACACTTCAATCCTAACTCTCTTCCTCCTCCTCACCCCCCCTTTCTACATTAACACCACATTTGCCTTACAATTACACATTTGTCTACACCCCTGACGACAAACCTCCATTCACCAAACTGCTTCTCCACTGCATTCGCACACATTCCTCAGACAACTACCCTGAAATCATGAAAACCTTCACCATTCCACAAATACTACTGTCATCCTACAACACAAACAAACTAACTCAACCGAGCCAGTTGGTTACTTGTATTCCGACTCTTTTGAATAAGTAATACAATCACATTCATTTCACCAATCGGTCCGCTCATGTTGACTTCTACACAGCCAATAAAAACTCATCCAACAAACAGTGATACAGAGTCAAGTCATTCATATTTACTGATACAACAACAGAAAGCCTTTACAAATTACACCATGTCATTTTGCACCATTTTGTCTCCAGGAGGAAGCGTGCAAACTGAACTTTCCTCGGCCCACTGCTCGCCCAGCCGCTACACCGTCAGGTACCAGCAGTCAGACGACAGGAGCGTCACGTCATTCCTCATCGGTCCTTCGGACACCACTGCAACAGCTCTTGGAAATAACATGTCCCCTCTTCGGTCGGTACTGCACACCTCGCTCCATAACAAACCTTCATCTATTCCAACGGTCAAGTCTAAACAACACAGCCATGACATCAGGGAACACATTGTTTCCTTGCATAACTCAGACTTGTCTCCTGGGACCATTTCAAGGCAACTTGGTGTACCAAGGGCATCTGTTCACACAATTGTCCACAAACATAAGCAACTTGGGAGAACAGCCATAATGCCAAGGTCTAGAAGGAAACAGACATTCACATCTTCTTTCCCTTTTGGCTTTGTCCCTTTTTCCCCCCTGGTTGCCACAGCAAATCATTAATTTCCATCTCTCCCTGTTCTCTGTATCTTCTGCTCTCACTCCAACTACCTGCATGTCCTCCCTCACTGTATCCATCCTCTTTGGTCTTCCTCTTTGTCTCCTACCTGCCCTCTCCATCTCTAACATTCTTCTACTAACTTATCCACTGTCCCTCCTCTGCACATGTCCAAACCATCTCTATCTGGCTTCTCTACCTTTTTTTCTTTTTTGCCTCTCTCTGCTTAAAATGTCCCCCACCCCTGGTCTAAACCATACATCATGGCTCGTCTCACCACTGTCCTGTATACCTTTCCCTTCACCTAAGCTGACACTCTTCTGTCACACATCACTCCTGACACTTTTCTCCAGCTGTTCCATCCTGCCTGTACTCTATTCTTCACCTCTCTTCCACAGTCTCTGCTACTCTGAACAGTTGATCCCAAGTACCTGAACTCCTGCACCTTCATCAACTTTATCCCTCTGTTGTTGTTACAACTCTGTGCATCACCCTTCTTATTAATTGGCACCACAACACTTTTCCTCCACTCATCAGGCATCTTGTCAATCATCACCCCCCTTGGTTGGCAACACTCCTGGACCTCCTCCTCACAGGCTATTCTTGTCACGGTATCAAACTAAACAAAAACATTACACTCTTAAAGGGCAACATTCAAACTTCCTGTGGCATAAATATAGTCCACAACATCATGTTAAACTCTCAACAACAAATTTGTTTAAGTGCACTAACAAACTCCACCTGATGGGGGAACATGTGAATATTTCTCAACATAAAAAGGCAGCCATCATTTTCTACATTAAACTGCTGATTTCTTCTATAAACTTTACACTTCTAAAACTATTTCCATCAATCCTGTACTGGATTTGTTCAGTTGGTGTCACTCACTCCTTTGTCAATACCTGTGAACGGCTTAAATCCTTTTCTTTTCATACCTTTTAATGGTGACATTGAAGCAGCCCAATCTGGCTCCACGCTGAAGGATCTGCTTCAAATTGTTGCTTCTCCACTCTCCCTGGCAGAGTCCTAGCTGCTGTATTCACAATTCTTCTCCTCCATTGCACTGTTAATTAATGACTACAATGAGCTGGAATAACACAATCAAAAGCTGTCTGTGTAGGTTCTCAGTCATTTAATCCAAACATACACTGCTCAAAAAATAAAGGGAAAACTGAATGAATGAAATATTTTTCACAAATACTTTGTTCTTTCCATAGTTCAATGTGCTGACAACAAATTCACACAAACATTATCAATGAAAATCAATTGTATCAACCCACGGAGGTCTGGATTTGGAGTTATACTCAAACTTTTATGTCATGTCCTTTAAACAACTCCAAATGAGGCTCAGTACTGTGTGTAGCCTCTGCGTGCCTGTATGACCTCCCTACAACGCCTGGCCATGCTCCTGATGAGATGGGATCTCCACCCAGACCTGGACTAAAGCATCCGCCAACTCCTGGACAGTCTGTGGTGCAACTTGGTGTTGGTGGATGGAGCAACACATGATGTCCCAGACGTGCTCAATTGGATTCAGGTCTGGGGAACAAGCGGGCCAGTCCATAACATCACTGCCTTCGTGTTGCAGGAACTGCTCACACACTCCAGCCACATGAGGTCTAGCATTGTCTTGCATTAGGAGGAACCCAGGGCTAACCACACCAGCATATGGTCTCACAAAGGTTCTGAGGATCTCATCTCGCTACCTACTGGCAGTCATGCTAACTCTGGCGAGCACATGGAGGGCTGTGCGGCCCTCCAAAGAAATGCCACCCAACACCGTGACTCCCTTGTGCAGTCTCTTTCTGACCGTTTGTGCAGACACATGCACATTTGTGGCCCGTTGGAGCTCATTTCGCAGGGCTCTGGCAGTGCTCCTCCTGTTCCTCCTTGCACAAAGGCGGAGGTAGCGGTCCTCCTACTGCGTTGTTGCCCTTCCTACGGCCTCGTCCACGTCTCCTGGTAGCGCCTCCTTGCTCTGCACGCTATGCTGACACACACAGCAAACCTTCTTGCCACAGCTCGCATTGATGTGCCATCCTGGATGAGCTGCACTCCCTGAGCCACTTGTGTTGATTGTAACCTCTGTCTCATGCTACCACTAGAATGAAAGCACCACCAGCATTCAAAAGTGACCAAAACTGTCTGTGGTCTCCACCCGCAGAACCACTCCTGTTTGATTTCACAAAAGTGTGATTGACTTGGAGTTACATTGTGTTCCCTTTATTTTTTAGAGCAGTGCACTTACATTGAGGGCAACTGGACAACATAAGTTTTTTTTCTCATCCAACAGGCTTCTTCAGTTCTGCAGAACTAAAGAAGCCATTTGAGGAGAGGTAAAACATTGTCCAGTTGCCCTCGATGTAACTATTTTTGGAACAGTCAAAAACCGTGTCGGTCTCATTTACTTTTTGTTGTCAGGGTGGAAAGCCACACGGTTGATGGGACCACAATGACCTTTGACTCCTGCCAAACTCCTCCTCGTACACTGCTTGGTAGAACCTGCAGATTACAACAACACGTCACTGTGCCACATATTAACACAAACAAACAGGTTTTCCTTAAAAGCAGTCACTTCCACAGCACCACCAACATTACTATGACAATGGAAAGTCTGTTGCACAATCAAAAGTCATAACAACTACATGTTTACATATCACTATCAAGAACAATACAAATGCAATGCTTTAAACAGATATATCATCACTACATAAACGCCTTTGTTTGTAACAAACTCATGGCTTCTTCAGTGCTAATGCTAACACCACAATGGAATAAAGAACATCTGCATTTTCTTCATCTCTTTCATTTGTTTCGATGAAGACAACAGTCACTGGATGCTTTATTCAACCACACAATAATACTCTAGAAACACCACTTCAACTCACCTGGCCTCAAACTTCCCAATCCTGTGGTCACTTCCATGGCCTCCTGCCCACCTCCCATAAGCACCTGCAACACACACAATTGCAAGGTTCGAGGTCACTGTTGATCTACTAAGATATGCATTGCATAACAGCCACTTCATTTCAAACTTTACCACTCATTTCTCCTAAGATGTACTTCAAATATTCTAAAGTCTATTTCCATATAACTACATCAGTGGATTCACATTACGACAGCTCTGTAGTATGGACAGATTGACCGACACACCGAGACTGAAGGAAAATGTCATTGTAAATAAATGGGACAAGTGGACACACTCAAAGTAACCACACCTACTACTGTGTGGGTTTTTTGGTGTATCTTCTTATAACCCCCAGCAAATTGTCAATGTTTACTTCAGTTCCCACTACCTTGTATTACAAACTATCAATAATCATAATTACATTTTTGCCTTATCTTCAATTACATTTTTTCACTATAACACTATGTGCAAACTATTTCTTTAGCAGTAATCAGGAAGCCTTGTACTATCTGCAGTCTCGTTTCTCTTACGGTATTATGTTTACGTTGCGCATGGCGATTACCTACCGATCTGCGGATCCCTCAGGTCGAACAACTTCATGAAACACTGATAGCCCATCTGCTTGTCTGTGGAAAACATGATGTTGCAGCTGAAATGGAACCCGCGTGTTCTGATGACAGACATTAAAGAAAGGACACAGAGCAAAAAGTAAACACCAAAATATAAAACACTTGACAGCAAATTACCCAACATACATTCAAACACTCATACACTAATATGTCTGCTGCAACCACCTCTATAGCTAACGGTTTATTTAATTATTTCTCTTCTCAATTATTTACACTGTGTATATTTATATATATTTTATATACTTGTTCACGTAGCATTCTTATAATTATACTACTTCTGCTTATATGTATTTTTATATCATGGTATAATGTGGTATACTTCGTAGCCCTGCAGTAGGATGGGTTTCTGTACAGAAACGCAATATTTGTAAGTTCATTTTTTATATTTTCAAAAACGTGCATCAGCCCAGCTCAACCTGCTGCCAAAGGCCAATTATTTATACTTATTCTGCACGACAACTTTATGTTCATTATTTAGGACGAAAAACTAACCACGAATCATTTTAACTTCTGACAAAAGCTAACGTTAGCTGCCGAGACACATATGCTAGCGTAAATTGCACTAACGTTCACGACCGAACGACTACCACTTCAAACTAAATTGTTTGAAATGGTAGTCGTTCGGTCAACCGACAACTGTTTTTAAAAACCCACCATTTCAATCAACGACATGTAGCCACCGTGCCCAGGTTTTTTCGACTTGAACGCCCGCTGGAAGCCCAAACGGCTAACATTGGTGTCTCATGCGCCGGATCTGCAACCGGAAATAAGGACCGTACAAAGTATTCCTATTTCCGTTATACAAACGTTTCAATATCAGCGCGCCCCTACAGTTGACCGCCGACATTCACATCCTTTTTTTTTTTTGTCCAGGGGTCTCCAACCTTTTGTTCTCTATGAGCTACTTTTACAAAATACAAATGGCTAAGACATACTTACGTTGTGAAACAATAATTTTATAGCTTAATTCCAACAAACAAACTCAATACGCTTTCTTTGCCTTGACATATACAGTATAATATGTCACTGTTGACATATCACATTTTTTATTAAAACATCACCAAAGTATTAGTAGTAGTACTAGTAGTAGTGTTAATGTTGTTGTTGTCGTCTGCCAGCGTGGCAATTCACAAAAACATCCATGTATTCAATGCCCAGTATTGTTCCTCCAATTATTTTATTTTAATTTTATTTTCTCAAGAATACCGCCGTCTACTGGCCATAAATAACAAAACCCACTGCAATTGTTTGGCAGTGATACAAAGCCCAGACTCAGTTAGTTCTTCAATGACGTCCGTTACATACGTTTAATATTTGTCAGCAACCAATCGTTGATGTGCAACCTCACTCATTGACATCCAATCGTTCATGTGCATTTGAATTCATCAACAACCAATCGTTGTTGGCACATCAATTGCAATTGTTTCGTAAAACCAAAACAACCGACCGAATTTCTTAATAAAAATCATATCATAAACTGTCACTCGGCTACCCTACCCTTGTGGAACATGAATAAAATAGGTATCTTTCGCTACGGTGTAATATCCAAGTACCTGTTATGACGATTCCCTGCCACTTGTAGAATGCAGTCCGTTGTGCTACTTGTGGTCAGTAGACGGCGATATTCTGCAAAAAATAAAAACAGCTTATTTAGTCAACATTTAAAAATATTAAAGAGACCACTATTAAATCCGCGTCAGGACCACTACATTAAGTCATTAATGAATTATCAAAATAATTACATGTTACACTTTTTGCACATTTGATACTTTATTTTAATTTCACGTCATTTTTCAACACAACTGGATCCCAATAAAATATTTTTTTCTCAGAAACAACATAAATAGTCAAAAACATGAAAGAAAATACGTGTAATATTCACAAAGTATTACATCTATGTCACAAAATGACATAATATACACAAAAATGGACATAGCTAAGTAATTTAAAGCAAATGAGTTTGTTTTTTTATCATTTCTGATAAACTTTTCTTTTTGGAGATTTGTTCAGGATCTTATTAGTATAGTATTTTACTGTTGTCAAAAGTTGGCGTACCAAAAAAGTATATTTATTTCTGAATTTTAACCACAAAAAGGCTTCAGGTTCAAATCCACCAGCTGCCAAGTCACCACTGAGGTGCTCTGAGCATGGCACCATCCCAACACACTGCTCCCGGGCACTGAAAAGCTGCCCATTGCTCCACTTGGTGATGGGTTAAAAGCAGAGGCTCAGTTTTGTTTTATCCTTGTGGTACAATGACAATATAGACCATAAAATCAAATAAATAAAAATATTTTAAGGCAAATGAGTGCATTTTTAATCATTCTTGAGAAAGTTTTCTTTTTTGGAGATTTGTTCAGGAACTTATTGGTATAGTATTACTGTGATCAAAAGTTGGCATACCAAAAAAGTATATTTTTAACAACAAATATGGAGATTTTTATAGTCCAAGCTAAAGTAAATTTGAGAATAAGTCATATTCAATAAACACTATGTTCGATATACTGTAGCTAACTTTATTATGGCACTTTGTACATATTACATCACCAATTCAGCATTCTTTTTTGTAGCTCATACAGTACATAAAAAGTTCAGAACCACTTTGCATGTTTTCTGTAAATAAGTGGAATCTGGATGTGCGTTTGAAGAACGTCACTCTCCTCAGGTCACATTGGTTCGCCTAGTGTCTATGTTGTTTTCCTCTCTACAGTAGAACTACACAATGTTATTGTGCTGATGCAAATAACAAAAAAGGCATTGCAATGGTTGTTTCTAGTAACACTGGCTCTGTAAGTCTAATCACAAAGTCTTGGGCTATTTATAAGGTGATAACCATCAGGTATCAATAACAATCTGAGACTTTAGTTGCATAAAATTTGAGGTGCTTCTGAAACTAATCCATTTTCTTCGTGACAGGTTCCTCCTAATTCACCCCAAATGTTGTTTATTACATAGAAAACTATTACATTTCAAAACTGTTCCACACTGAAGTGAACTGTAAACATCATTGTGTGCCACAAACAAGAGATGAGTTTATTTATTTTATTTCTATTCTTTTTTTTATTCTATTCTATTCTATCGCTTTTAAATTACTGTTTCTACATTTGTTGACTCGCTCTGGATGTGTTTTTCAGGCTCATAGGTCAGTTCAGAGCCTGAGGCCTGCAGTAATCTGTCAACATACATGCCTGGTGATGCAAAGTGATACACTGCATGTAAGTATGTATAACTGCATGTATGCTTAGAAACAGTGAGGATTTGAACTTTTTCACATAGGAATACCATACCATGTCATGTCTGTGAAGGTTCTCTGACATCCAGGAAGTTTCATATAAGCAGAAATGGACATCTGGCCTTGACCTTTTCATAAGTTGACATCTTTACCATGTAATACAAAATAGCTCTAACCCAGGCATGGGCAAACTAAGGCCCGGGGACTGGATAAGGCAATCATCGTTTTAATACAGCCGGCCAAACTTCAAAATTATATCATTTATTTATATCATTACATCTGCATTACCCACGTTTCCCCACTAGGTGGCGTAAAAAATGATAAAAGCATTTTAGCATTTTAGCCTTTATGTATGACTTTTACATGTAATTTATCTCAGTTCACACGAACGCTCCATCTATCTGCTCGTGACCCCGCCCCCCTGTTCAATTTTAGGACTAATTGTGTCCCCCGAGCCCATGCCTGCTCTAACCCCAAATGACCTTGTCTGTGACCTAAGAACTCATCCTGAGAGTCAACTTACTTTGCTTTCCTTCAACAACAAATACAGTTAGTGGCTGCCTCACATCTGCTGTCTAGAAAATGTGCACAGAAACTCTACAAAACCCTTCCTTGTAGGCAAAAGACACGTAACGTGACTACGAGTTCACACACCATCACATCAATCCACACAGACTGTGCACGGCAGTGTGTAACACACAGGACTGAAGGTGAACAGGCTGCATTGAAGTGCTACGAGATTTTCCGTTGGCACGCGAGAAGGAGGAACATTTACATTATTTACATCCAGAGATTAAATAACCACTTTTTTTCATGCATTTCACAGAAAGTAAACGGTAGAAAATAAGGTTCTCACATTCCCTTTCGATATATATATATTGTTTCCTTTTAATGTTCCGAAATAAACAGCTGAGCAGAAAGAACCTTGAACAGCATTCCTTTAAACTCATATGGTAAATATTCCTGTTGAATGTGATCAGATGCATGACCTGCTAAATTTACCAAGACAACTGTCTGCCACTGGCATTACAGTTAAGTACAAAAATAAAACATGCTACTGAATCTACCCCAACAGGACACAGAGTGAAGTTGACGGACGACGATCCTATGATCGGGGACTTTAGCCGTGACGTGCTCTGCTGAACACCGCAGTGTGAGAAAGAAAAAACACTTACGTATTTGTGTCTGTTTCCAGGGTTGAAGATGAAATATTTTGAAGAAAACCTGCCGAACTACAACACAGGAAATTAGTGGGTAAGACTGATCTTCAGACAAACAGTCAAAAAGTTGGAGGAGTCCACAGAACGCCACATGAGGTCTGTCACTGACATCATCCTCTCCCTTTGCTCCCTCAGGTTGTGGTTGTGTGTCATCCCTCAGTCCTCTGAGAGGAAACAGAAATGTGTTCATTAAAAGATGGGGGCTGGACATTCAGGAGAGGAGGGCTGCAAAATTCCTCGTAGGAGACTCAACAGGTAAGTTCCGGTTCAGGTCCGAACCCAGCCCACAGGCACCCAAAAGGATTCTCGCTCCAGCCTTTCCAGTATACCTCGCAGTTCTGCACAGGCACTGGCTGAGTCCTCCTTGATCAGGTGTCGGTCCACCAGGTGTCCATACTGCTGGTCGATCTGAAGAGCAGACTGACGCATCTCCTGCATATCCTCATCCTGGTTCATATGAGAAAGTTAATGGAGTTGTGAGATTATATCAATTGTCAATTATCATGACTTCTTTATAATAACTGTGGTTCAAATTAATCACTTGTTAGTATAGGTAATATATATGTTAATATACATATATTTGTGTGCACTAATATATATATGTAAATACATAAACATGTTTATATATACATACATTTATATATAAATATATATGTACATATATACATATATACTGTATATACTCTTCATATATATGTACTGTGTGTAGTACTGACCTTATACCGTGAGAATCAAAATGTATCATTCCATACAGCTACATGCATTTCATCCATTTCTCAACATGTAATCTTAAGTATATTTACTCTTTATGAGTAAATATATAATCTCCAAAGCAGTTTTGAAAGTAGGCAACTGGACTCACCTTAAATACGTTGAAGAGGTCATATTGTTATCTAAAAATAGGTACATCAAGGGCAACTGAACAGAGTAGGTTTTCTTGAAGACGTTTCACCTTTCGTCCAAGAGGCTTCTTCATGACTGACTACTGTGAAGTTCTGGTATTTAGCCTGAAGGGGGCTGTATACCCGTAACGAGGGGTCGTTGCACAAAGGGGGATGGAGGTGTGGTGGAACACACCCTATTCTAAGGAGGGCGTATACCCAGTATACCCAGTAAAATTTGGGATTTACTGGGTAACTAGGTAACTCTGCCTACAACCAATACTAACTATCTTTAAAAAAACATATTTTACAGAGTTTTTTTGTTTAAAAATCTAAAAAACAAATTTATTAAAATATATATTTTTATATATTCTTGTTCTTGTCTGTTTTTTATTATTATTTTGTCTTTAACATAACATCAAATAAATTATGAAACATGACCCACTGTAATGCGACCATGGTCTCCCCCTCCTGGTGATGTTGCAGCACTGCGGCGGCGTCTGCTCTCTGGAACCCGGGGTTTGACAAATATGACATAAGGCTTGAATTCCGCCGTCCGCAGTCTCTTCAGGGCCTGACGTCACGTGACGATTCATACACAGAGAGCAACAAAACAGATCATGAACACGACCGGACACATTCAGGAGTGATAAATAACTCGTCAGCAGGTTCTGTAAATCACATGACCTGTTAAGATACATGACTCACCTCAGGCTGCACATCCACTATACACATCTTATTCTTGGCCTGTACAAAGCGGATTGCTTCTATACTGGTGCCGTACTGATTCTCCTTGTATTCCCCATGTTCTATGAACCTGAGAAAAATATATATATATTACCAACCACAACAACTATCTACATCGGACCCACATGATTAATCGAGTGAATGGGAGCACACTTGTTGTTCAAAGCATCTGCGTCAAATTGCTGCTTGGTAACAAAGTGGTACTCCACCCCTTCCTTCTCATGAGGTTTCCTGGGTCGGGTGGTGTCTGTAGGTGAATGAAAGCTCACATTTCAGATACTTTGTTTTTGTTAAATTAAATAAATCAAGTGGATCACTGAAAAAAAGGTGTCCTTTATGTCTGATTTGTGTGACAAACACTTTCACATCTGTTTAACATTTACACATGCACACTGAATGTGCACAAAAGGAGGGAAAGGCAACTTACGTGGTACAGCCACTGCGTATCGATGTGGGTTTTCTGAAATCACCCGCTGTTTCAGTTCATTGATGCGTCCTCCGAGAGAACCTTTGGGATAAAAATGAGTTAACAATGTTATTTTTTAAATATAATTTTAGAGGACACTGCAACGTATCTTTTTTTGAGGTGTACAGCTCCACCATCTATTTAGATCACTGGGTGTTCACTGTTGTTCAAGCACTAGTAACAATCTAGTATGAAAAGATAAGTGACATTTTTACAAACATATATTTATTTATAGTAATATCTGTACATGTTGTTGTACTGATGTTATATTTTATCAGTAATTAATTTAATTTTACATGAGTTCGTGCACCTTTTTTTGTCTAAATAGAAAGATCTAGGCTTGGAACACACCTCACTAAACTTGCAGCACAGGATAGCAGGTAACAGTAGTTTCCTGCTTCCATACAATACTTATCTGGATATATTTCTGTCTGTCTGGATAATTTTTTTTTATTTATAATAAAATATCTTATTTTTATTGTACAGACTATATGACCTCAGTGCCTTTGTTGCTGCAACACAACAATTTGTGTGGGATCAGAAAAGTTGAAAAGCTTATCTGATCTAATGTAATGTAATCAAATTGAATCTACAAACATAAAACAAAAATAAAAATAACTTTTGCAAACTCTACATTACATGATGAACAGTACTTCAACATTATTTCAGTTTTTATTCGATCGATCTTACCAATCAGAACCACCAGACGAGGTCTCTCGTTAGACCTTTGCTGATATCGTGTCACCTCCTCATACGTCAGGAAATCAGAGTCTCCAGAATCGGAACCCTCTCCCGATGATCCCTGTCTGTCCTTACGACTCAGACGAAAACTCCTCCGTAAACCAGCTGCGTGGAGGTCAGAAAGCAGAGGAAACAGACAACAAAGGTAATGGGTTAGAACCAGCAACTCGGAATGATTCACAGAAGACCGTTAGACGTGATGGTGCGATCTTTCACTCTATGACTTTATGGTAGACTCAAACACTGTGAGCATTAAGCAACCGTTGTTGAAAAAAGTGGAGACCAGCCAATCATCAACCGTCATGCATTAAGAAACCTTCGTAGAAATCAGTGCACACTGCACAACAACAGCTCACTCGTGTCTGAGGTGAAGTCAATTGCGGTTGTGACACGTCAGCTAATCCTTCAGCCAATTACCAAACATGCGTCAACTGAAAAGTTGGATCACATGCAGCTGTCAGAAAACACTTTTTAGAAGCACTTTAAAGCCACACAAAAAGGTTTTATCCACATATTCTTTCAGCAAATCATACAACACATTTCAGTGACCCAACATCATTTTCCAACATCATGTTCCACAGATGGCATGCTGCTTTAAATGAGGCTACAGTGCTGAGGCAGGACACACAGGACAGCCTGGTCCTGGGAAACTCCAGGCCAATGGCAGAGAGTGACTCCAGATGAGGGTCTCCCATGACCAGGCCTGTCCATATCGCCCTCCCTGTCAGTTGTGTGTACCTGCAGGAATGAGCCGGGCACCGTACCTGAATAAAATTCCCAGGAAAACACCTGGCCACAGGAGGGCGCCACTGCTTTACACTTAGGAGAGACTATAACTGGCGTTAGAGCGTCACACAACCCTGCCTCACACCTCCACACAAGGTGAACGAACAGCAAACGTGCCTGGTGTGTGCGTCCAACGCAGCAGGGGCCCTCGAGGAAGGGGAGCAGGGGGGAGGAGGGGA